TTTTTTTTTTTTTGCCCCTGGGACACCTTCGTACGGTCGTCGTCCGTACGCCCATACGGGCGTCCGTCCGTCCGTCCGTCCGGGCCGTACGGAGACCCCCCGTACGACGTACGGGCGACGACACAGCGCGGATCGCTTTAGCAATCTCCAGAAGGGCGTTGCACATCATGAAGTTCGCCTGGTCGGCCTTCACGTAGTGTTCCTTCTGCACTTCTAGCTCTCGCTCGAGAATGTCGCATTGCCTCGTCAGAATTGAGCACTGCCTCTTGCTCGCGCTGTCCACCGTCGTCGCCATCAGATTCCCGTGGTCCTTCATGACGTCCGCAATCGTGTCGAAGGTCTGTTGTCTTACATTCTTCCGTTTGCCGCCCCCGCCACCACCAACGCCGCTGAATGTTGAATCCCTCGTCGATCCCTGATCGTCGTCCTGTCCATCCCCGCATCCCTCGCTACCGCCGGATTCATTCCGACCTCCACGTGGGCAAGGCATTTGAACACATCCAGCCACACCCGTGTCCGCGAGATTTGTGGGGTGTATAGTGTGATCGCCCCTAGACATGGCCTTTATCTCCGAATACACACACTCATCCATCCGAAAATCAAACCCCCGCTCCTTCCTCTCCCTCGGTGTTAGTGTGAAGAAATTTGACTTCCCCGATTCTCCCATGAGCTTGTGCACAGTTTTGAACTGCTGGTATAGGCTGTCCCATTTTTTCCCGCAGTCCTCGACCTTTCTACTCATCACCCCCATCTGCACGAGTCTCTTCTCGACGTCGTCCCACTTCCAGGTCTTCATCTTCATTCTTACGCTGTTGTGGCCGAGGCCGGCCAGATGCAAATCCTGGTCTCTCTTAGCTCGTATCAGAGCAATCATGTGGTCCACGGTCCAAAAATTCCTGCTTTTTGCTACCTCGCCTGCCGACGTATCCCCCGCACCCTTCTTGCCTCTCCGCCCCGCGCGCGGTTCTGTAGACTTGTTTGTGGCCCTTGACCCTCCCCGCTTCCTCCCTATCGGACGAATCTCCATGATACGGAAGACGACAATGGCAAGCAGCAGCACAGCGGCAGGCCAGCCGAGACAGAACATGCACTTGCGCTGTCGCGATCGCGGCAACCGGAGACACACGTTGCGAGAGGGAAGACGCCAACGTTTTTCGACCGTCGGGAAGCCGGCGGGAACGCCACGACCCCTCCAGGACCCGGCCGAAGACGTCCGATGCTAGCCACGGTACAAGCGTGGGGCCGCCCGACAAACCGCAGGGCCGTACCGCCAATCACCGCCAACGGTAAAACGACGAGGCCGTTGGTGGACGTTTTGGACGAGGACGGCCCGCGATGTCCGTCTTCCAGCCGGTGGACCACCACTGGACCACCTTCGACCTCCATTTTTCCTTTTGGACTCGCCGCCGACACCCCGATAATCGCGGATCCTCGGGCTCCAAAGGACCTCGCGAGCCCAGGACGATTTGCCTCGGAAATCCTCGGAGCCCAAGGATTTGTCCTCGGATTGTTTTCACATTTCTGTTCCGAAAGCCGAAGACGATTTGGCTGGGAAATGCTCGGAGCCCAAGGATTTGTCCTCGGAGTGTTTTCACATTTCTGTTCCAAAGATTTGTCCTCAGAGTGTTTTCACATTTCTGTTCCGAAAATCGGCTCAGAGGACAGGTGGAACGACGACGGAATCCTCGGAATCGCATCCCCAAGGAGTGTCGAAAGACGCCCTCGGGGACCTATATTCCCAAAATCCCAAAAAAGAGGGGAAAAAGGCGGGTCACACGGATCTACCCACTTTGCAAATGTACTATTCCTGCTGTGCCCATTTGTCAGCGGCCTGGGAGGAGGGGGGGGGGGGGGGGCAAATGCGCTTTTTCTTTTTGCATTTTCTTCAAAAATTGGCAAAATTTCGTTCATTGTGGAAGGCGCCGTGTGACCAGCCAAGTACCAAATCCCCACTTCTCCAGACGGCGGCGACCTTGTCCCATCTGAGAAGGTACAGCAGTGTGACGTCAAACGTGCCCAAAACCTCAAATCGGCCCTTCCGAAATCCGCATATTTTGCGGATTTGGGGTCGCCGTGTGAGCCCTCGACTCTCAGCAAAATGGTAAGAGACAATCCAGACGTGTCACAAACAGAAAGGAGCAGTGTTGTGTTATAAAATAAAAATAAAAATAACAAAATCAAATCAAATCAAATCCAGACGTGTAGAACAAAGAAGGCGGCAACACGACCAATGATTGGTCTTCACGGGAACTCCTTGCCGGGCCAAGGTCCCACTTGCACGGATTAAGAGATTCTGGCCGTTGATCTTTGCTATCTACGGTCAACATCGAAGAGATTCTGGCCGTTGATCTTTGCTATCTACGGTCAATATCGCTTAATTCGTGTAAGTGGGACCTAGCCCCCGGTCACATCCTTGCCCGTTGGCCCAGTCTCCCCTTGGTTCGCAATCTTTTTCCCGCCCCTTTGGTTCGCACTCTTCATGATGGCGCCGTGCCGGCGCCTTGCACCTCGTCTTCTCTCTTTCTGGGTCTGGTTGCACTACTCGCCATTCGCCCAAAATTCTTTTTTTTTTTTTTTTTTTTTTGGAAAGCTCGACAAATTGTATTATAGCAATATATTGAGACTGAGGCCGGGGAAAGCACAATTCAACCCCGAGTTATCCTGGCAGCATCAGCCAGTTTAGCTTTGCGAGCAAAGCTCGATTCCAGAACCTGATTTAACTGTGTCTTGCTCCATCTGGAAACCGGGTCCAGTATCCCATGCTAAAAAGAACCTTAACAAAAAAAAAGAACATATTCGCCCAAAATTCCGAGTTCTGAGTGACCGGCAACCGGAAAAAGAGTCCTGATGCACGAGTAGCGCAACTAGGCCCTCTCTCTCTCTCTCTCTCTCACACACACACACACACACACCGCGTCTTTCGCGGATGCACAGCACGGGGCAGACCCCAACGCTCTGCCTCGATCGCCTTCTCCGTGATTCGCACACCAGAGGTCCAGAGGTCCAGAGGGCAAACTCGGACGAGGCCGCTTTCGACTTCCATGTGGACATAATTGCGGTCACTTCCGTCCGTGCGTGGCGGTGGAATCCGTCAGATGCTTCCAGGAAAGAAATGGTGCGTCTATCGTCAAGTCCCCACCAGATGCGGTCGCTTTTCGGTCGTGCCTTCTACAGTCAGCGAACTTTCACAATGATTTGCCTTTTTTCGCCCGTTGATTTTCTTTCCTTCTTTCAAAAGCTATATTCTTCTCTCAATTTCACCTCACACTACCTACCTACCACTACTCCTAATTAATTATAGGCATACGGGGAACCCCGTGGCAGCCAGAACCGTGTTCACGAGAGAACATGCGGGGGCTGCTCCCGACCTGCAGGTGGATCCCCCGATCGGCATTGAGCAGAGTCTCCCGACCTGCAGGTGGATCCCCCGATAGGCATTGAGCAGAGTCTGCTGATGTTCGTAGGGGGGGGGGGGGG